AAACTTTATTCAAAGGAATATTTTTGCTAGTAGCAATTGCCACAACAAGGTGAAAAATCTTACCCCAGTCACACACAGTTCCGTAGCTACAGATTCATTGAAACTCTGCTTTGGTACCTGTAGAAAGACAAAGAGGTGACTATATAAGTATACTTGGTCAATAATATTGGAGGTGGCATTGCTGATTATTCTAAGAGAATGAAAAAGCAGTGTACCCCCAAATCACTAACCTGAATGGAATAGTTATTCTCATAATAAAAACTGGATTACTCAAGAGCAAATGGTCTATTCACATAGCCCAAATGGTCACCCAGTTGTCTATTGGGTATAAATGTATCAAATCAAATGGTGGATAGTTTTGTTGTTGACCAAAGTTGACTGAGGCTGCAGCTCTAATTAGTTCTCATACTATGACTGGCATTTGCTTGTAATTTTAAGTCTGCAGTTTACACTGGGGTTACATTCTGGAAAGTGTGCCTAAAATCAAAAATTGTGTAGAGTCAAAACACATTGAGTTCAATGGTGGGTGGGGTTGCCAAAGTTTTTTTTCTTGGACACCCACTCTCTTTCCATTTTTATTTTTTCCATTTTTTTCCAGCACATAAAGCTGAAAGTGCATAAATAAAATGTGCATAAATTGCAGGCTTACTATATGGGGGAACAATGTAACTTATGTCTGAATACAACTTTAAGAGATTTTTTTGCCATAGATTTCAAAGCAGGTACTAAAACATACCTGAACCACTAAGCACAAAGGTATTGGACACGCCCCACCTAACTATTCCAAGTAATATTTTATATTGTTTGATGCTTGTAGTGGGTCATGCTGGTATGCAATTAGAGGTCTAAGGGCGTGCTAGATGCTTCATTGGGAAAGGAAGATGGTACTTATGATGTTTTCAGCCTTTTCAATCTATTCCAATCCTATAGCTTACAAGCAATTTTGTGCAAGTCTTTGGTCTAAGAACAAGATCTTCCCTGGTCCAACCAAATAAACGCAAATGCATTACAATTTAAAGGCATTACAATAAATACCTTTTGACATCAGTAACCTACCATAAGTAGCACCATTGGATTCTTAAGACTGTACATGCTGTGTATGTTCAAACGGCAATGCATAGTAATTTGCTCCAAAGGTAAAGGGACCCCTGACCATTAGGTCCAGTCGTGACCAACTTCCAGGTCATGTGGCCAGCATGACTAAGCCGCTTCTGGCGAACCAGAGCAGCACACGGAAACGCAGTTTACCTTCCCGCCGGAGCGGTACCTATTTATCTACTTGCACTTTGTGCTTTCGAACTGCTAGGTTGGCAGGAGACGAACCGCCGACCTTCTGATCGGCAAGCCCTAGGCTCTGTGGTTTAACCCACAGCGTCACCCACGTCCCAGTTTGCTCCAAAGAACACTGCTAGTTACAACACTATTTCAAATCACAAACTTTCTATCAGGTATGTTGCAACCCTGGCACATGGGACCATCTCCCTGCTACCTTCCTAGGTCTCCATGAAAAGGGGAAAGACTCTAGCAAAGCTATCAAGATGTCATTAAACTAGCCATCCTTCGTTTAACTAAGCACATTAGGTGCAACCTGTATACAGCACAACAGATAATTTCATCAGGAACAAAGCTACACAGCAAAACCGTCTTCAGTTACTTTTCAACTTAGGAGATAAAATGGATCACAATAACAACATCAGCAAAAAATAGTAAACTGTTTTCTTCCTGTAAAGTATAGCTTCTGTAGTTAGAGGAAATAAAGATACATGCCCACTTGTTTTATTTCTGTAAAGCAAAAAGATTCAGGGTGGGGTGGGGGGTGGGGAGTTAGCTTCCAGACTGAGATGTAACATGCCAAGTTTCAAATTGGAAGAGTACATTTTACTGCTGAGTTATAAACCTGTAAAAAGGGGTTATAATGGAAAAGCTGGCATAGACTGTTGTACTATAAAGTAGCAGTGTATCACTAAATCACAGGCAATGGAAAGAATATATATAAAATTCTGTGCAGAGAGCATGATACCCAGTAATTATATCCTGAGGGACAAATCCTTTCTTTTTTTGCCCCAATCTTACAGGACAAAGAGAAACTGGTGTAATTCTAGTGCAAGAAAAATTAATGTCTCTAATAATGGCTTGCACACTAAGCTAGTGTACTGTGCTGATGAGAAAATCAAGAGATAATGTTGCATTAATTCAAAGCAGGATTTCAAGAGCAAGGAACTGTATATAGGCTGAATTACTATATCTTCCCAGTTAAAAACAGAACTTTTAACTTCTTCATTTATATTTTGATTTCTAATTTTGATGTTCAAGTTTGAAATTTAGCAAAATTGAATGTATTTTGGGCAACGTTTTGCAAAGTATCTTCCAATTGGAATACAGATGTCAATGATAACATTAATATGGTTAATATGAAAGATTCAGAAATGTAATTATTGAATAAGCACTGGTGAAACTGATAGGGATTTCCAGTGCGCCACTACTTTGCCTTGAAGCCATACATTACTGCAGAATTCAGAGAGAGAATGTGTAATTACTTTTTTTATATATCTAGTTGTCTTTCTGAACTTTTCACCACAACCCTTAACAATGTGGCATGCAGATTCCAACAAAACTAATGACTCCATTGCTTTGATTGAATCTCCTAGTGTGGAATTCAGTTACAACCCCCCCCCCAAGTCTTTTTGTGGGGGTGGTTACATTAAAAAGCAAAACCTGACTTGAATTTTTTGATAATTTGTCAAGTATAATCAAACAACATCAAACAACTGAAACTAAATTTGATTAAAACCCTACTTCTTATACATTAGAAACAAAATAGTAACGTTGTGAGCAGAATTCACAGTCCCTGCTCCCCAAGTCATGCTTCCTTTCCCCAGGACACACTCTCCTTGAGTACCTTAAGAACTGTGACAATGCCTCTTGCTTGTCTTATGGTGGGTGGAGAGAAATGGGTGTGCATAGAATCCTCTGACTTCTGTGTGGATGAAATGCAGCCTCCCATGCAAGGGTTAGAATTACATCCCTTGCTCCACCAACTTTACCTCTTTACCTGGTCCACCACTGGACATCCTCCAGAAGGATGTCCAATCCTGTTTTAGCCAATGGTCATCAATCTGTACGCTCCCATTTTTATTTGGAGGGGGTAAATTCTTCTTGGTAGTGTCCCTAGATAGTAGGACTTCCAGTTGACTCGGGCGGGGTGTGTGTGTCCCGTATGGTAGGCTTTTGTGCCTTTAACCGTGTCCTCCTGTGCAGAAATCAGCAGATGTTTGCAGTATGGGGATAAAAACCTCAAGCTGTGCTTCAAAGTCACAGCTACAATGGCTGAGTAGTAAGTTGACAACCCTGTTAGGAAGCCTTGCAACAAAAGGCTGGAGGAAAGTATCTTCCTTTCCCCAACTATTCTCCAGCCAACCATCTCCTTGAAATATTCATAGCAAACACCACTGCATAATCCTTTGTTCTCTTGATTACAGAGATTTACTATTCACCCAACCTGTTTTCTTAACAGTAGGACACAAACTATAAAGCGCAAAATGCACTTGACTGTAAAAATGCAATCAGTTTAACTCTTTTGCTCTTCCTAAACACAAGCTGCATCTATCAGACTTGTCAATAGTGTTTTCTTATTAGCCCAGCGATCCAACAATACGCTGCAATATAAATTACTTTCAACTGGGAAAACAAGCAAAGTGCATATCAGAAGCAGAGCCTGCTAAAATAAGGATTCAATTCAGCATAAAACAATTCTAGTCCACAAAGCTGAGGTGCTGTGCTATTTAAGCTGTGGAGGCAATCAGCCTTGCACTCTTGCACTACAAAGAAGCCTGACCTTTACTTGGGTGCTGAATCAGCTGTAAGGAAAATCCACTGTTAGAGCATGAATATTATCTGTGGTCAAATTGCTTAAGAATGTAATAATCTACAGGTTTACTTGGGAGTAAGTCCTGTTTGCACTAGGTAGGTGGCACTTGCTTTCAAGAAAGGATTGGGCAATACGATTGCTTCATAATTACATACTAGTCTGAAAAATATTCTGCCCAATTCAGATCATATTTTCTCAGTTATCTTAATGAAATTATTTCAATTGGCAGCATCATGGCACCAGAATTGCTTAACAGTCAACCTGTTGGGGCTTTGATGCACCTCCTTTTCGTTTCCAGGACATCAAAGAAAAGCAGACTACATTTTTAAAGGATGTATGACAAAATACTGGAAAACAGAACTGTTTTTTGTTTGCTTGTTAACAATAAAGTGAAAAATAAAATGACTGTTTTACCTTTACATTTTTACCTCTAAGTGTCCTTTTAAACACAAAATGCCCTGAATATTCTCTCTGTATTAAAAGTAGCTGGAAAAAGGAAAAGCTGCTACAAACAGATAAAACAAATAACAAAATCTTCCCCATACAAACCCTGGATATTGTAGAGCTGTTGCTTTTAGCTAGACGTGCATCTTAGTACAGATGTATAAAGAAATCCTCTAACTTTTCCCCCCAGTCCATTAAAATATGAGTGCAGTTTCTGATATACATTCAAAGCTACATTTTTAAGAATCCCTGAGTATCCAACCAAGAGATACAGAACATATGGCCCATACGACTATTTTTTTATCCATTAACTCATGTTGAAATAGTAAGACCTTCAGATTTCTATTTAAGAGAGGGAGGATTTGGGGTCCTTATGGTTGCAGTGATAAGCCTGAGAGTGAGGCTGTAAAAGAAGTGCCCTATGACTCATGGGCAGGAAAGTAAATAAAAAACTGCAATATGAAGGGGAAATGTTTCAAACCAACATTATTAGGCAATACACTTCCTTTAAAAATTTATTTCTTAAAATAACAGTTCTTAAATTTCTGGTTTGACAGCAGGAATGGTGAATCTTTTTTCTATGAAGGGCTAACTCACAGGAAAATTCAACTGGAGATGGAGCCAATGGTAGGAAAATCCCCCACGTCTCCCTCCCCTTTTCTGCCACCCTGTGATATATTTGTTAAATGGCAAACTGGGCAGTTGCTGGGGTGTGTGTGGCAAATTTGGGGAGGTGGCATTTGTATCACCATCAGCCATATACATCGTACACCACCTGTGACATATGGGCTAGGATGAGCAGGCATGACCCTGGATTGGGCAGGAAGGAAAAGGTCTGAGAGGTCTGTTTCTAGGGTTCAAAGGGAAACAGTGGTGGGGGTGGGGAATCCACTCGGATCAGACCTGGAAACTGCCAGATAAAAGAGCAAGTTGCTGCCTTTCCCTGCCGATCTTTCCTACTGGCTGGAAGTGCTTTGTAGGGCAGCTGGTGAGATCTGCAACTGCCAGGGAAGAAGCTGGGGGCTGGGGTGGGCAGTGTTGGTGGCTTCAGGATCAAGGTGAGATCAAAGCAAGGGCCCCCTCTCAGCGTAGTAAAAGGGGACACCATCCTGGCAGGGGCTGGCCCCAGTGATCACACCCATCCTTCTGGCTACCACTCCAAAATGGTACCCCCTTCCCTAACATTGCTAGTTGTTGTGCAAGGGCACTCCTGGGGAGGTCTCACCCCCTCTGTGCTTTGGCACACACATGCTTGACTCTACTGAATACAAACCTACTTCACCCTTCCTTTCCTTGTGTAGAAGTTACTGCTGAAGCGGAGGCAAAGGAAGAACAGAGTACAAAAGAGCCCATGGTGGAAGCTCAGTGATGTCAGAAGTGTCATCTTCTATTCTGCCTTTCAACAGCATCCAGACACAGCCTGCTCCCACCCTTACATTGTGTGCTGGCCAAAGCTCTCTATTAGATGCTTGGGGGAGGTCGGGGAAACAGAAATGGAGAATGACATGAGAGGGCCTGGTTTGGTACAAGGAGGTAAATGAGGTGGAAGCAGCCGTCAAGAGAGACTTGGGCCCCATCTGCACTATACATTCAAAGCAGCACCATACCACTTTCAACAGTCATGGATTCCCCTAAAGAATCCTGGGAACTGAGAGTTGTCAGGGTGCTGAGAGTTGTCAGGACACCCGGAGGACTTCCGGGTTGGCGCCATCGGTAATGGCGGTTTCCCTCTGAGTTTCTGAGGGACCAGCTCCGCGGGATCGGGTCTGACCGCTGCGGCGAAGCGGGGACCCTTCAAAAATCACAGGCGGGTGAAGCCTGTGAACGTGGGGACTCGGCGGGCACCTTTTGCGCCCCCCCAAACTGCGAAGGGACCCTTTTACGGGCTCCGGAGCGAGACGGGGTGAGCGGCGCGGTGCTGAGAGTCGACTGCTTCTTCCGCGGAGTGAAGCCGCACAGCCGTTATTGGAGAGTGCTGACTTTTTCCTGGGACAATTTGACTTCGAAAGTAACTACCCGTGAGTAGGATAAAATTGGATTTAAAGGGAAAAATAACTTAATTCGGCACCGAAGCGGGAAGGCATAAACAGGAAGTCCGCCTTCCGTTCTTGTAAACAGATCAAAGCAAAGAGACTGTAAGCGGAAACTTTGAAAGACGTTTGAAAAAAGACTTAAATCCTAACATCAGAAAAGCGATCTCCCCTCCGGATTGCAGAAAAGGAGGGGGGAAAGGTTTGAACTGTATTTATCTGCAAAAAAAAAAGAGGGAAGGGAAGCTAAAACCCACTGCTTAGAACCTGGGAACGGACTGCCCTGAGATAAGGAATGCCGCTCTGTGAAAAGCACTATCGGTAAATAGAGTACTTTTGACAGCTAACTCTGCAAGAGAGATACAGTGTTTCTGGACTTCTCCTGGCTTTAAAGTAACAGATTAAGTGCAATTGAAACTGTTGGGTTTTTTTTGTGAACTGGGGGATTTATAAGGACTACTTCTTTTTAAAGTTGCAAGCTTTGACTGTTACTGTGTCCCCCTAGAGGAGGTTTGATATTGCTACAATAACAACTGGGCTAGGGGAATTTTCCATTTCAAAACAAACTCTAGCCGTGGGATTGACCTTGGATTTCTATGAGAGTGTTATGGCAGATGGAAGAGGAAAGTTAGAGTTGACTCAGGAAAAAACTACTAGGTCTGGCAGACCCTATCGGACAGATACTGCGTCGCAGCGAAGAGCTTCAACATCTGGTCCTTCTGGACCATCTGGATTATCAGGGGCTGCACCCCCACAAGTTAAACCAAAAGTAATGTTGTCTGAAGACGTTTTGGCTTTAGCACTAGGAAAAATTAATGAATCTTTGGAAAATTTAACTAAACAAGTAGCTGAAACAAATAAACAAGTAGCTGAAACAAATAAACAAGTAGCTGAAGCATCAGTTAAAATTGACCAAAATACTACAAGTATCAATAATTTGGGACAGAAGGTGAACACCAATACAGAGACTATTGAGAAATTGTTACAGGAATCTGCTTTGACTCGAAAGACAGCCGAAGAAGCAAAAGACATAGCAACTGCTACTCAAGAGAAGATACCACCGATATATAGGCAACTCGAGGACCACGGTTTGACGTTGTCTATGATTGAATTGAAGGAGAAACAAAGAAATTTGAGAATCAGGGCTGTACCAGAACTTGAGAAAGATAACTTGACTGACTTTCTTACGCAGGAGTTTGCAGACTTCTGGCAACAGGATTTGGGGAAGGAAGAATTTAAGATAGTGAGCGCATTTAGACTTGGAAGAGGAGGAAGGAAGAACAAGGTGAGAGACTGTTTGATTACCCTTCGAACAAAAGAGGAGAGAGACAAAATCTTGAATCTGCACTTCCGAAAGACTTTGGAAATACATGAGTCAAGTGTGGAGATAATTAAGGACATTCTAAAACATCTCTTGGATTTAAGATCTAACTACGGAGATTTGGTCGCCCTGTTGAGAAGCAACAGAATCATCTTTAGGTGGGAATTTCCCCAAGGCCTGTCCTTTAAATATAAAGGAAGAAAGATAAAAATAAGATCAGTCGATGACAAGGATCGAGTTTTGAAAGACCACGGAGAAGACTTACAGAAAGAAGTGGAATCTGGAGAAGAGCCAAGAGCACTGGAAAGAGGAATATTAGATATAGCAAATTTATCTTTTGGATTGCATGGTTCAGAGAAAGTGACATCACCGACAGAACAAGAACAAACACTTGGTGCAGTTGGAGGTAAAGTAAAGTAATCACATCATGGCTCTGCAACTATTAAGTTGGAATTGTAATGGCCTCAACTCTCCTCGGAAAAGGAAAAGTGTTTTTCATTTGTTAAAAAAGGAACAATTGGACTTGATTTGCTTACAGGAAACACACGTGATAAGGCTACATAGGAAAGTATTGATTAACAAGAAATTGGGACAGGAGTTTATTTCATCTGACAAAGTTAAAAAAGAGGAGTAGTGATTTATGCAAAGGAGAGACTATCACCGAAATTCATTTTTAAAGATGATCAAGGAAGATTTGTGGCAATTGAAATTCAAGTTCAAGGAGAGAAATTTTTGATAGTAGGAATTTATGCACCGAATGAGGGGAAATCTGAATTCTTCAAAAAGTTGCATGAGACCTTAATGGACTATTTGGATTACAATCTGATCTTGATGGGAGATATGAATGGAGTAGTATCTACAAATATGGATAAGGCACAAAGACAGGTAGTCACAAAGGATGGTAGACTACCGAAAACATTTTTTGAGATGACAGACAACCTGGATTTAGTTGATACTTGGAGAACAAAGAATCCCTTGGGAAGAGAGGGAACTTTCTTCTCTGAAGCCAAGATGACATGGACTAGAATTGACCAAATATGGGTAACTAGAGGAATGGCACCAAAGATAAAGAAAGTGGAAATTTGTCCAAAAACCTGCTCCGACCACAATGCTGTAAGGATGGAGATGAAACTAATATCAACTGGCTCCTTCAGATGGAGGATGAATGACACCTTATTCAGAGATGAACAAGTGTATAAAAAGGCCCAAAAAACTTTGAGAGGCTATTTTGAGATAAACATGAACACTAAGGTTGAAAAAAGAGTAATCTGGGACGCAAGCAAAGCGGTTATGAGAGGGTTCCTGATACAACAGAATGCAATAAAGAAGAGAAGCCAAAATGAGAAGAAAGATAAAATTTTGGAGAAAATAAAAGAAAGTGAGAAGAAATTGAGAGCAAAACCAAAGTCGCAGGAGATTTTGAGAGAAATAAAGCTATATCAAGTACAATATATGGAAATGATGAATCAGGAAATAGAATGGAAAATTAAACAAATGAGACAAAAAACATTTAAATCAGCTAATAAATGTGGGAAATTGCTGGCTTGGCAAATAAAAAAAGACAAAAATTAAATACTATTACAAATTTAGAAGTGGAAGGAAAAACATACATAACCCAACTGAGATTAGAAACTGTTTCCAGAAGTATTTTAAACAATTATATACACAAGGGCCACAGAAAGAAATGGACATAGACAGATTCCTGAAGATAAATGGACTACAAAAAAATCTCTCAAGAAAGTAAATTAATGTTGAATTATAAAATATCTGAACAGGAAGTAGAAGGTGCCATTCAAAATATGCAATTAGGCAAATCTCCAGGACCGGATGGGCTGACTTCTAGATATTATAGATCCTTGAAAGAGTGGTTAGTGCAACCTTTGAAGGAAGTCTGCAATGAAATATTGGAAGGGAAAAGGGCACCAGAGTCGTGGAAAGAAGCGTATATTACACTTATACCGAAAATAGAGACTGAAAAGACTCAGCTGAAGAACTACCACCCAATATCATTACTTAACGTGGATTACAAAATTTTTGCAGACATTTTGGCCAAGAGATTGACAAAAGTGTTGATGGAAGAGATTCATAAAGACCAAGCGGGCTTTCTCCCAGGAAGACACTTGTCTGACAATTTGAGGAATATAATTGATATCTTGGAAAAACTAGAAGTGAACATAAACACTAAAGCAGTTTTGATATTTGTGGACGCGGAGAAAGCTTTTGATAATATCTCTTGGAGTTTTATGAAGAAGAACCTACAGGGGATGGGGGTAGGCCAAGGCTTTGAAAACGGTATAAGTGCAATTTATTCAGAACAAAAGGCTAAACTAATTGTAAATAATGTAGTGACGGAAGAATTTAAGATAGAAAAAGGGACACGACAAGGTTACCCAATTTCCCCATTGCTTTTTATATCGGTCCTGGAGGTTTTGCTGAATATGAATAGAAGGGACCAGTTGGTTAAAGGTATACAAGTTGGAGCTAAACAGTACAAATTGAGAGCATTTGCAGATGACTTAGTATTGATATTACAGGAGCCAGAATCTAGTACTAAAAGGGTTTTAGAACTGATTCAAGAATTTGGTCAGGTTGCAGGATTTAAACTGAATAAGTTAAAAACCAAGGTATTAGAGAAAATTTAACACCGATTGAGAGAGAGAGGTTTCAGAATGAGACAGGTTTGACAGTGGTTAAGAAAGTGAAATACCTGGGGATTAATATGACAGCAAAAAATGGGAACTTATTTAAAGACAACTATGAAAAATGCTGGGCCGAAGTGAAAAAAGATTTAGAAATTTGGTCAAACTTGAAGCTTTCACTGTTGGGTCATATTGCTGCGATAAAAATGAATGTATTGCCTAGAATGTTGTTTTTGTTTCAAACATTGCAAATTGTGGACAAAATGGATTGCTTCAAGAAGTGGCAGAGAGACATTTCTAGATTTGTCTGGAAGGGCAATAAGCCCAGAATAAAATTTAAGATATTAACTGATGTAAAGGAAAGGGGTGGATTTGCCCTGCCAGACTTTAAACTTTACTATGAATCAGCAACTTTTTGCTGGTTGAAAGAATGGCTGCTTCTTGAAAATACAGACATTTTGGATTTAGAAGGTTTTAACAACGTATTTGGATGGCATGCATATCTGTGGTATGATAAGGTCAAAGCACATAAAGCATTCAAGAATCATATTGTCAGGAAAGCATTGTTTAATGTTTGGATAAGATACAAGGATTTATTGGAAAATAAAACCCCAAGGTGGCTGTCACCGATGGAAGCGAAAGCTCTGAAAAGGCTCAATATGGAGGCCAAATGGCCGAAATATTGGGAAATTTTGGAACAAGATGGAGATAGATTGAAATTGCAGAGTTTTGAGAAATTAAAAAACAAAGTGCGAGACTGGCTTCATTATTATCAGATAATGGAGGCATATAATTTGGACAAGAAAATTGGCTTCCAGGTGGAAAAATCAAAATTGGAAACAGAACTGTTAGAATCCAAAACTAAGAATTTGTCAAGAATGTATAACTTGCTGTTGAAATGGAATACCCAGGATGAAATGGTGAAATCTGCTATGATTAAATGGGCACAAGATGTTGGACATAACATAATGATGGCTGACTGGGAACAGTTATGGACCACAGGTATGAAGTTTACGGCATGCAATGCCTTAAGAGAGAATATTATGAAAATGATATACAGGTGCTACATGACCCCAGTCAAGCTTGCAAAAATCTATCATTTGCCCGATAATAAATGTTGGAAATGTAAAGAAACTGAAGGTACATTCTTTCACCTTTGGTGGACGTGCCCAAGGATTAAGGCTTTCTGGGAGATGATCTATAATGAATTGAAAAAGGTATTTAAATATACCTTCTTGAAGAAACCAGAGGCCTTTCTCCTGGGCATAGTCGGCCAATTGGTGCTAAAGAAGGATAGAACTTTTTTTATGTATGCCACAACAGCAGCAAGAATACTCATTGCAAAGTATTGGAAGACACAAGATCTACCCACTCTGGAAGAATGGCAGATGAAGGTGATGGACTATATGGAACTGGCGGAAATGACTGGCAGAATTCGAGACCAGGGAGAAGAGTCGGTGGAAGAAGATTGGAAGAAATTTAAAGACTATCTACAGAAATATTGTAAAATTAATGAATGTTAGAATGATGTTGGATAGAAATTAAGTGGTTTTCAGCTGTAATACTATAAGGGAATATGAAAAATGGATTATTAATAGGTAAAAATTTAGTTACAATATTTTAAGATTAAAGACTAGGATAAACAAAGAGGGTAAGGATTTGCTGAACCAACAAACCGAATTGGAATACAAAAAGGGAGGCGTGAGGAGGTCCGGGAAACAAGCTAATGAAAAATAAGTAATGGAAAGATTGAGTTGTTTTTAACCATTTTTATTTTGTATTTTCTTCTTTTTTATTTTTATTTTGTAATATTTTGAAAATCTTAATAAATATCTTATAAAAAAGAAAAAGAGAGTTGTCAGGACACCCTTATTCCTTTCACTGAATGACAATTCCCAGAGTCCCTTGGAAAGAGGGACCACTCTGGGAATTGTAGCTCTGTGAGGCAGATAGGGGTTTTTATACTATTCCTGCTAATCAACCTTGACTCTCTCTCCCTCTGTGCAGGGTCAGCAAATAACTTTCTAACCATGGTATGCCTTTTCCCACAACTACCATCTTTCCCCCCATGTCACATAAATTTTCTGTGCTACTTCTCTGGCTAACAAATTCCTGCTCTGTAATCTTCTAGTCTTGGTTGCCATTTGCTTCTCACTACAACTCTACTGTTGTCCTTTTTTCATTTGATGGACTTTCATATTGTAATTAATCTTTTCCGCTGTCTTTTGCAGACTTCTGTTCTATCTGGCAAGTTCTGCTTTTCTAAAAGCACCTTCGAAAGTAGGGCATAGTTCAAAACTGACAAGCTAGACACACAAACCCATTCTTTTGATCAATTCCAATGCTTAAACCTTTGCTAAGGTGCAGATATTTGGGTCAGGGAGCCTTGGATAGGGTATGTGTGTCAAATCAGCCAAAGCTGATTCCTCTCTTCTCTTTGCGTAGCTGTGAATGTGTCCAAAGACAGCAGACTGATTCAAAGTGTGAATTCCATGTCATTCATGGTTCTATCTACAACATCTTGTGGCCAGTGCTAAGATGCCACCTGCTCTCCTCTCTCTGGCAGCAGCTTAACATTAGAGAGCAGAACTCATCAGATATTGATTTATCAATGTAAACTATGTGTCCTGGTAACAGCCTTTCAGTGTGATGTACTCACCAGCTAAGGATGAGCTTCCTTTTCCAGTTACTCATTTGTTTGATTCAAATAAACTCTTAGAGCTTTATGCCTCCTATTTTTAGTGGATATTATGCCATTCTCATAATGTGACCTTAAAAAAATTGATTTGCCTCCAGCTAACCCTTTTTTTCTGCATAAAGAAGGGCAAAGAAGAAAGCAGAACAGTAAAAGCATTTGTGGAATCCCTTTTTGCTAGCTTAATAACTCAGCAGCTTAGGCTGACTGGTTTTTTTATTATTTCATATATAAAACTGAACAGTCACTTTGCAATAATTCCAGTTGTTGTGGATTTTAGTATTGTGGCTCCTTCCACCATCAAGGCGTGACGATGACTAGAAACACCTTCAGGCTTGGAGTTGTTTGTGAGTAGGGCATTTCTGCAGAGCTATATTTGTCTGTGGACCAAAAGTTTTGGATATGTAGGTGCAAACTAGGCATGAGTACAGTCCTCTGCACTACCAACCAATGCCCCAAAGTAGATTCTTCCTGCATAACTTCCAGAATGTGTAGTACTTCCCATCTAAGGTAATTCCCCTGCCACCTCTGTTCTTAAGGCCAAACTGCATGTGATGTTAAATGCAACACAGATACATTTTCAAATTTGCAGATAGCAACCACTGGTGGCGGTGGGATGATAATTATACAAATTCTCCTCTGTACGGGGTCCTGCTGAAAATCACACTTAAAACCCTATCAAATTCCCACTCCCTCCCTGCTGCAATCTTGCTAATTACACTGAGCAACAATTTTTTACTTTTTGAATGTTGTCTAGATTTCTACAACTGATTTAGGGTATTTTTGCACTGCTGAATCAGGAAATGGCATCCGTTTCTCTCCATCAGGTCAGGTTTTTGTGTTATGTTGATTTGAAAAAAAATCAGATCTTGTGACAAAATTGATTACATTTTTGTGGCATTATCAGCTGATTTTTGTCAACACATATCATCCTAAATATGTTTTTAAGAGAAAAAAATGTTTTTCCAACAACATATATTGATTACCTGATAGAAACATTGATTACTGTAAACTGAATGGTGGGCATTGATAAAGGTAAGTTCACGTAAATTGCATGTTGCTTCACCATTTTTCAAACTTCAGGGCTTGAACTTCCGTTTCTTGGAACTCCTGGAATGCTCAGCCGCAGGGAGGTCT